TAGATAGTAATTGCTCAGCCCATTCAGGGTTATTTTAGTTTTTTTTAGCGGTTACTGCTTTTACACTAATAGCTAAAAACTAAAGCTGGCCATCCACCAGTGGCATCACTAGGGGGTTACAGTGGGGGGGGGCGCCCACATCCGGGTGACGCCAAAATGACTGATCAGAGTCTTGCTCATGGTTTTTATAATTCAAGGGATACACCAACAACTTTGTGTTAAAAAAATAACAGATGTACAAAACTTAAATCAAAGCAATGTACACACACTTTAACCCAATGACATATTGCACAGTTCATGCAGAAAATACAGTAATCAATATCAATGTGCTGGCCCAAGCAGAACTTACAAGCTCCCCTCTATACACTACCCCTCAACTGACTATGAACTCACTGACTATGAACTCACTCAGTCCTACCGTGTTTCCCTGAAAATAAGACACTGTCTTATATTTTTTTTGGCTCAAAAAAACACACTAGGTCTTATTTTCGGGGAAGGTCTTATTTTTTTTTTTAATGTACAACAATCCAAAGTTAGTGCAAATCCAAATTAAATAATCCAAAATGGCAAAGTTAAGAATAGGGTGATCAGGGCAATCAGGGGTGCTGTAGCTTTCCAAGAGCATTTTGGTAACCAGGATGAGCGAAGCGCACTTTCACTATGGATTCCTCACAGACGGAGTGAATTTGGTATCACGTCTGTGACAGGAGCCGGCGCTATAGAGGAGGCATCGGCTTATGCGGCTCTGCTCCCTCCGCTGCCGCCTCACTTCTTCTAGCGCTGGCTTCGTTGGCACTGCTGATTCTCTTCTTCGGCTCCTCAAGTTCCCCCCTTATGCCACCACCGGCCCTGGGAAAGGTCGCAACTAGGTCTTATTTTCGGGGTAGGTCTTATATTTTAGCAATTCCCAAAAATGGTACTAGGTCTTAATTTCGGGTCAGGTCTTATTTCCAGGGAAACAGGGTAGTTCTGCCCCTAAAATCAGTGGATTCCAGTACTTTGATACCTGTAACTTCTGGCGCAGGAAAGGCTGCTTTTCAGCCCAGAGAAGCAGTTATGCAAACAAGGGGGTAAAATTACCCATGCCTTTGCCCATAGTGGGCAAAGGAAGAGTCAGTTAATTTCCCCCACCTCCCTAGAAGCACTCATCTTATCTTGCCCCATGCTACTCCGTTCAACCATGGGGAATGTCATCACCAAGTATGAGTGAACATTTAACTCAATCTCCCAGACCCCGAGACACTTTTGTGCTGTTTATTTGTTTTATTGTATCTTGAAAACTTTAATGAAATACTATGAAAAATAACTCAATCTCCCTTTTCCTTGTGACAATGCTAGGTGCCATGTCATTTGCCAAGCACTGTCAGATGGGGCTGAGGAAGGAGTCCATAGCCATGCGTATGTTCCAAGAAGTTGATCGGGAGCTTACATGGAACCTTCTTTACCGGTCTTGGCAAATGGATCTGCCCAGGAAACATGGTGGAAGTCAGTTGACCCTTTTTCATTTGTTCTACATGGACAAATGCATGGATTGCTTTAGGTTTACGCGAAGGAGTGTTAGTGTTATGGTTACAGAAATGGCAAGTGTGAGGAGGACGTTAGGGTAGGGGCTATTACCGACACAGAGTTAATATATGGCGTCAGTCTGCTCCTAGGTGGATGCTCTTGGAGAACATTTAGCTGTAGGCTTTAAAGTGGTATCCATAACACTTCATGTAGCTCCTTTGACAATAACATTTACCCAAATTTCCAAACATTTCATCGAGTCTTGTAGGTTTCAGCTAATGCTAGCTCCTCACAGAATTATGTTTTTATGAAGCATTGGAGCATGCCAATGTCTGCTTCAACCAGCATAAAGTTGCCAACTTTTCAGACAAACATACCAGTCTCACAATCTTTTTTCCTATTAATAACATTGGCATGAAATCCATTTTTTTTTAAATCAGATAGTTTTTTATTAAATTTTTTTCAGATTTTTTTTAACAATAACAAAAACAAAATATTAAAAACAAAATACAAAAAGAAAAATGGTTAGTAGAACCGAAGAGATGACAGCAGTATAGCCTACATATTTGTAATTTTCCACAGGTTTTAAAGCAATAAGTAACCAATGTATCAACAGTAGAAAAATAAAGGGACCATTAGGAGACACAGGTATCATCTAGAATGAAGATGCAGTATGAGAAATACTGTGTGTGTATATATATATATATAGAAACAGGCTGCTAAAATTCATCAGCATTTGTTTAAAGTTAAGTTAAACATTGGGACCATACCGAGTAAAATTTGTATAGGTTACATCTTAATTGATGAGTAACATGTTCAAACTCAACAATCCTATCGCATTCCAAGAGCCAAGCTTTCACCATGGGGGGAGAGGAGGAAACCCATCTATGAACCACTAATCTAGTAGCTGTAAATAAAGCACGTTTAAGTGCAGTTGTTGTATGTGAGTCCAAAGTGGAGTCAGCAATAACTCCCAGGAAACATGTTAGAGGGGAGTTAAACAATGAAACAGCAAAAACAGAGTTTTTAGGAATAGACACTACTTTATACCAATAATACACTAGTTTGGGGCATCTCCAAAGTAGGTGGATTAGTGAACCCTGGTGAGAGTGATACTTTGGGCATTGAGAATCAGTCCTAAAACCTATTTTAAGAAGGAACTCAGGGGTACGATAAGTTCTGTGAATGATAAACAATTGAGTTACTCTATGAGTGGTAGAAAGGTACAGTGATATTATCAATAACTTTGTCCCAAAGGTCATCAGAAATGGGACAGAGATCCCCTTCCCATCCACTCCTGCAGTGTAACAGAGACTGTGAATTGTGTTTGACTTGGATATGTAAATACTATAGAGCAGGGAGATGAAACCTTTGGTGCGCATAGAGGAAAATAAATTATCATAGATTGGAGTAGGAGAGAATTGGAGAATAGTGTTTTGAAATTGAAATTGCATTCTGAATCTGGAGGAAATGGAAGAAGCATTTACTATGCAAACCAAATTGGGATTGCAATTGTTGGAAGGAACAAAGAATACCACCCCCTTAAAGTTGATAAAGGGTGTGTAGACCTGCCTCTGACCAAATTCTGGAAATTATGCTGTTAGGGTGACACCCCCTGGCAGGCGACACGGGCTTACCTGAGGGGCAGAGTCTAAGTACCAGCCAGTGTTCACCAGAGCTCCTGGTAGGTGGAGATAGGCTAGGCTGTTTGCTGGTACCAGGTCGTGGTCCCGAGGGTTGCCCTGCCAAGGGATGGAC